CCCCAGATTATGGAATGGCCTGCTGGACGAGATCCATCAGATTATGAGTTTAAGCAGTTTTGAAAAGGCTGTGAAGACAGATCTCTTTTGGCAGGCCTTTCCTGATTAGATCCCCAGCCTCAGGAGTTGCGCCTCTCTATCTCTTTTAGTTTTTGGTTCGTCCACTGCTCTTGTTTGCTGGTACTTGTTCCAATTACTTATTTTATTTTGATATTCTACGTCATGGTTTTTTAATGGATATGTAGTTTAATTCTTTTTAACAGGGAAGGGTGGGGTTTTGGGGCTTTTTAGTCTGTATTGGTGTAATTTTAACTGTTGTAAGCTGCCCCGATTGTTTGACAGAGGGGCGGGGTATAAATAAATTTTATTATTATTTATCATTATTATTATTAGTTGCAGCAGTGGGGGGAGGGATTCTGAGTAATCTGCTCCAAAAGTGGTACTACCTCAATCACCATTCATTAGGAAAGCACACTGTATCTCACCATCACCCATTTCTTTGGAAACAGCATACCCTCCAACTGTCCTGTTGCAAACTGGGTTCAAATTACAAAAGTAACCACTAAAGAGTTAATGAGTTCAAAAGAAACCTGTGTATTAAGATACAGAATATACAAGAGGAAACAAAGAAAATGGTTTTTCTTTTTAAATATTTTCCATTAGACAGAAACATAATGTTTAGTTACCTGAGGTGGAACAGACCAGATATGTAATGTTTTCATTACCTGAGAAAGGTTAGGTAATGCAACAAGATAGGATAGGTAATGTTATCTGAGGTGGACTAGACCAGAAGAGATTATTTCTTTATAGAAGATTGAAGAACAGGAAGTTATAAGAAGTATGAAAAATCAATTAATATGTCTATTGAACTAAGAAAATATGTCTGATAACAATTTTATTGTTTTGGAAATAATTTTAAAAAATTAAAGGAGTTTTCACTCAATAGTTTGCACTCATGGCAGGAGAGAGAAGAGAGGAGGGCCAACTCTTTCTGTTCCCAGTAAGCTCAGACAAAAGCAAACTGCTGCATTCCATCTTAGCTCATGTGTGTTCTTCCTCATGAATAACTTTAGTCATCTTAACCATACACTGATGTTCCTTGGTCACATGTTCCTGTGAAATGCTGGAGGGAACGGAACAACACGTTGACAAATAAAGCAATATTTCACCTGGCCCCACTTCAGAGAGTTTTGCAACTTTAGCTGGCTCCAGCAATCATCCCAAGGTACTGTGAATCAAGGTGTGGCAAAAGTTTTGCCCACTATTTCATTCATAGGGAAAAAAATGCTAATATTGGCCAGCATCCCAGTTCTTAGGGATCTGTGCTAAATCAAAGAATGCTTTGTCCATCTCCATCCGAAGATGGAGCTTTACACTTTCACAATTAAAGCCACATTTTAGTGGCATCACATCAGGGAATTTAAAGGAAGAGAGATCATTATACTCATAAGTATGGGCAGGAAGCAAGAAGATGGCATTCTCATGATTGAAGACAGAGTGCTTTGGATTGTTTTGCAGAAGCAATAGAAAGGACAACGGGACAGAGAAAACATTAATGAAGCACAGAGAAGAACACAGAGAAGGCAAGTGTCAGCCCAGGCAACCCAGAAAATATTACGTTCAAGACAAAGGATAATGGCTCTATTAGCTGTTTCACAATATTTGAAGAGCACATGGGGGGCTGATTTGCCTGCAAAGTAGAAGAAACCTGCCATGGGAAGCATTTTTTTAAAATGGATCTGAAGAATTGCCCCCATGGCTACCAAAAGCAAAAATAATAGGCCAGGATGCTATATCAACTTATACTTAACTAGGTACTTAAGGGGGTTGCAGACTGCCAGAAATAGTGCAAATTGAGTCCACTTTTAGGGTTAGGGTTAGTGCTAGGGAATTATGGGAATTATTTATTTTTTGAGACATTGAGCCTTCTCTGTCAGAGAGCTCTGGTGCCACAATAAAATACAGTTCCCATGATTCCCTAACCCTAACCCTAACCCTAAAAGTGGACTCAATTTGCACTATTTCTCGCAGTCTGCAACCCCCCTAACTTTAACTGTTTTGACAGCTAATTAGCCACAATTTCAATGATCAGAACTTGCTCCCCAACCTACTTTACCAGGCACTAGATGCATGGGAAGAAGTCTGTTCTGCCAACAATCCAGGCATGGTTGAAATAAGTTCTTTTAGGTGTGGAAGGGTTGAGCCAGGAGAAGTTACTTATTTAGATAAGTTTTTTGTTGCAGAATTCTGGCCATAATAAATAACTTTTCTATATAACGTTTATGAATGTTTTTGTAATGTTTTCATCTTTATTCTTTTTAATATGTTGAAAGCCAGCATGATGTAGTGGTTTGAGTGCTAGACTATCACTCTGGAGGCTAGGGTTCCATTCCCTGCCATGAAACCCATTGGGTGACCTTGAGCATTAAAACAATCAACATTTAAAATCCATCATTTACATCATCTGGATAGGCATGCTGGAAGACACTGTTCTTTAATGCTGTTTTAAATGTGGACAGTGCATTCAGCTGTTGAAGCTTTGACTATAGGTATGTTCATCTGGGCACTTACTGCTCTTAAACAACATAATAAGTGGAGATGTGTTTGTTGTTGTTGTCATTGTGTCTTTCAATTCCTTTCTGAGTTATGGAGACCCTAAAGTGAGCTTATCATAGGGTTTTCTTGGCAAGATTTGTTCAGAGGGGGTTTGCCATTGCCTTCCTATAAGGCTGAGAGAGTGTGACTTGCGCAAGGTCACACAGTGAGTTTCCATGGCCAGGTAGGGATTCGACTTTTAATTCAAAGGACCCATGCAAGCATCCAATATACTTGGTGTTTTCTCTCTCTCTCTCTCTCTCTCTCTCTCTCACACACACACACACACACACCTCTGGCAAAATCCTTCCAGTAGGACATCTATCCCATAGACCTGTCCACCACCACATTGGGGAAACATGGGTGGTGTTAGCACATCTCCACCATGAACTCTGGAAGAGGGGGCTCAAGCCTCATTGAAAACCCACTGGAGTGGTTAAGCCTCTCCCCCACCCCAAAAACAATCAGGTCAAATTGGGTCACCAGAGTTTCTATGTACTTGAATTCCTTCAAGAGTTGTCAGACAGAGGTCTACTAAATTATCCTTATTTTGCTATTGATTTCATGGTATTCAGATTGTTACCACCTACAGTTGGAGGAGGAGTATTGTTTTAATGCCATGTCTTGTATATTCATTGCTTTCCAAAAATGTACCTGCAAGCAATCAAAATGAATAATGACTTGCCTGTCAATGTTGAAGACCCCACACACTTTAAAAACAGTACTGAGATCCCTGTTTTCCACCAGTGGCTCAGAATTTCTTTTGGCAACTCCGTTGGCCTCTCATTGTAAACAGGATTGTTTCCTGAATTGCCTCTTCTTTCCCCAGATGTTTAGACTGCTCAATCCCCTTTGGCCATTTCAAAGATCCAGTGGGAAGGAGAAGAGACATTGGGAGACATGCCTTTAGTAGTCAATACCATCCCCAACCTTTAAATCTGTGTCGCCTTTTCCTCCCACCCTTCCTTATAGAACACTCAGAAGAATTAAAATATCTGATGAGACTTTCATGTTGTTGTCCAGCAGTTTCAGCAAATCTATAAGAAAATTACATGCCATTTCCACGTTTGGTGCCCAATTTTTTGATTCACAAGAACTTTCTATTTTTAGCATTAAAAACATGAATCTTTATTTTTACTGGACTCTTCAAAGAAAAACTCTTTTACTGGACTCCTCATGGAAAATGTTGGAAAACATTTTGTTTCGAAACAACCCTGTTTATCCTTCCTTTCTTTGCTGGAACTCTCTTCTTCACACACTCCTTGGCTCCTGCTGGTTATTAATCACCCTAACTGAGAGCATCCTTCTTTTTCCTGATCCCAATCCTACACCATGCTGGGCACCTAACACAGAACAAATTGGACACCATGCAGGACCTGAATTTTAAAATGGTACAATTTACTATGGAGGGGGTGATTGAAATGTCAAAAGCAATGGAGTTTGACACATATTTGATGACTGCAAATGAATGCTAAGCAACTGAGGAAGACTAGAGGATAGTGCAAGTTCTCCAGGAAAGCTGCACGTCTTCTTACAAAAAATAAAAACCAATATTTTGCCCTCAAATGCCCTCTAGGAGACATGGGGGCATGTTTTTGGACCTTCTTGGCACCCTAGACAGTATTTTGGGGCAGTTTGAGTTGTAATATTCTTTTGAAAAAAATGCAAAATTTCATTTTGATCCCAATGTGAAAATGTCCTCCACACCCCCTTTGAGATCATTTTTGAGCATTCTGAAGCAAAAATATTTTTGACCCCTGGAGAGTCCCAGAGGCCACAGAAATGGCCCTGGGGGCCTTTGGATCTGACTTTGCTTACCCCTGTTATAAAAAGTGACAAAAATTCATTTACCTGGGTGAAAGAGTGGGCTCCTCCCAACTAGGCAAATGTGCTGAGAGATTCTGGTATTTGTTGCTGTAGTTCTCGGGACTCTTTAAAAGATCCAACCAACCTTTCTGTTGTCCTGGATTATTTTCTAGCAATTCATGATACCAGCTGCAACATTTTATTCTTGGTTCCTTTTAAAACTTCTAAAAAGTTCCCTTTTAATTTCAAGGTGTATTGGAACAATAATATCTCCTCCTTCTCTCCTTTCTCTCTTTTTAATTTGTAATCTCTTTTTAAATGGTGATTCCACCATTTTATGTGATTCCTTGCTAAAGATTTACTCTACTGCAAATCTTAGGGTTCCGTGTCCCAACCCTCGAGTTTGTTCTCTCTTCTGCTGGTCAGTCAGCTTTCCTCAACCAGATACCTTCCAGATGTATTTGATTACAATCCCATCATCCCCAACCATTGACCCTATAAACTAAGGATGGTGGGATTTTTAGTCAGTCACATGTGGTGATGTCCCAGGTAGTTATTTTCCTCACCACCTGGACCCAGGGATTTATTTGTTCTCAGTTTATCAATGGGATCTGCAACTTTTCCCATATTTTCCTCAAACTGATTTATTAAACTTGTCAATTCAGGCATGGGCATATGCCCAACATTCTCTGAAGTTTTTTAAAAATGCAGGTAATTCATTCAGCTTTAGAGTATCAGCCACATCAAGTGCTCCAGGTTTCTATGAATTATGCCTCTTCAGACTGCAAGGGGAGTATTGCAGTTTGAATGGAGAAAACTCTATGCAGTCAAAAAAGTCAGCCCATGAAGAACATAGGCTCAGTGTAGCTATCCACTGAACATGATTTTCCTATGTGCAGGAAGGAGTCATCCAAACTCATTATGTCCTCATACTCTCACTGTGTACACGTCTACTGGCCTCCACTAAGGAAAGCTCTATTATTTTGTAGACTCAGAGTGGCATTCATGGATTTAGATCTGCCAGAGGGACCCTCCTCTGTGTCCCACTAGTGAGGACATTAAGATGGGAGAGGTCATTCAATCCACTTGAATGCCTGACTGGTACCAGCATTGGGGGTTTTCAGTGCCAGCTCAAGACATAGCTTTTTATTAAAGCCTTTGCGGCTGAATTTTAAGCCTGTACCTGACTTTTAACTCTTTGCTTTTAACAGCATTTTAAAACATATTAAACAACTTATTCTAATTGTTTAATAGATTTTTAGCTTGTTTAAATTATTTATGGATTTTAATTTGGAAGTGTGTGTGTTTGCTGCCCTAAGATTTCATAATGAAAGGACAAAATAAAAATATTGAAATAAATAATGCATCATGATAGAAATGTCTCCAATAAAGTTCTCCAACAGAAAAGATGCTACGAGCATTATGGGCAAAATTATACAGCTTGTCCAAATCAAGAGAGGTGGGGGAAATACAATTAGAGATAACTATGGGCCTTTGCAGACTGCCAGAAATAGTGCAAATTGAGTCCACTTTAAAGGTTAGGGTTAGTGCTAGGGATTCATGGGAATTGTTTGTTTTTTTCTGAGACATTGAGCCTTCTCTGTCAGAGAGCTCTGGTGCCACAATTCCCATGATTCCCATGATTCCCTAACCTTAACCCTAACCCTAACCCTTAAAGTGGACTCAATTTGCACTATTTCTGGAAGTCTGCAAAGGCCCTATATTGACTTATTATAGTCACTTCTCAGATGTAATCATCAGCTTAATTTCAAAAAAGCAGCCAGGAAAACAGGATAGCCATCTGGCCCTTGCCCTGCTCATCCTATTTCCTTGATGAAATTATGGCTATGGCAAAAAAAAAAGATTGTTTTTAATGGGACAATTAGTAAAAACACAAGTCAGAGTAGGTTAACTTTGGTAGTGGAAGTGAACAGTCCCACACTGCATTAAAAGTTGTCATTCTCACATTGACATTCTCACATACCAATGGCATATATATGTCTGTCCCTGGTTTCCATGCCACTAAATGCATCTGGGGAAGTATACTGTAGTCTACAAAAGCTCATGCTGCCACTTTTTTTCTTTCAGCTAGTCTCAAACATGCTACAAGATCTTTCTACATACTGATTCTACAAACTAACACGGTTATACCTTTGAACTGCATTACAAGGTTGGTCTTCATTAGGCTGAAAGAAGTATCTATTCAATGGACTGGGTGTGATTGGCAGTGAAACACATGTATGCCCAACCCAAGGGACCCATCTGTACCACCAAATTTCAGTATGGTGATGGCAAA